GCTTTGTTCTAGGCCTCAAGAGGATGTTATGGGTGGTGACAATTGGAAGGAATTGCTTCGGGATTGGGTGATTTGAAGCCAAAGCCGCCGCACCTCTTTCTTACGGTTTTCTCCATTTTCAAAGCCAAATCTCTCCAATTTTGAGATGGAATGGATAGAGGAAGGCTCCTAGAGTGTTTCCCATGAGGTTTCTTGAAGCAATTCGCTGGAAAAACGGGTGAAAATCATCGAAAATAGGCATGGGTGCCGACCGGGTCAAGAACGGTCTAAGGGGATCCAGCCGATCCCCCGCGCCACTCGCTCCCTCATTTCCTCCTTTCCTCTGTTCCGATTGGCCGGGCTTCTCTCTCTCTTCTCTCCATTCGCCTAGCTCTCTGTCCTTTCTCTCCCAGAGCTCTTGCTCTCTTCCTCTGGCTGGGTAGCTTTGCCCAATCTCTTCTTCTTTTTCTTCACCAGTCATGCACACACACACACACACAAAACCTTCCTTCATCTTTTTATTTTTATTTTATTTCCCTTACATCCGAGCCATCCATTTCAGATTTCCTTTAATCTGGGCCATCCAAATGGCACACCAAATTTTTATAATAAAATTCATAAAATGCCCAAACTTCAAACTTTAAAATCTTTTTCGTTATAACTCCAAATCACGAACCGTCTGCGCCCACGCTTCTGTAGCGACGAGTACTACGAGGATATGTCAAGAAAACAAATCTTAGACGGCACGACACAACGATTAACCTCGAATAATGCGCGTGCCTCAAAGGGCATTTTTGTAAAATCCTTTATTAAAACTTTAAAACTCTTAAAATCATGGACGGGCTGCGATTAGGGTTATGGATTTGGTTGGTTATGGCGAGCTCTGTGGGGAAGATGATGGGGCAGAACTGAGATCGGAAATGGTGTGGCTGGGGTGGTTTGTAGATGGGTGAAGCAGGGGATGCATGGACACGGACACGGATACAGGGATACGACACGATACGACACGGGGATACGTCAAATTTGTATAAACGAGGACACGATACGTCAGGGATACGGCAATTAAAAATTATATATAAATAAATAAATTGATAGGAGCATATTTATGCGCCTTAGTTAGCTAGTTCTTATGCATCTTTGTTATGTTTTCTTCGTTAAAGTAGTCTTTTAAGCTACTTTCTTGTGTTTTCAGGTTTAGCGGACGTATTACATGAAATGCAATTTGGAGCTTTTAGAGCAAAAAGTGAGCTTGAATTGAAAAGGACATGCTTGGAACGCAAGGTTGGGATGGAATTGAAGAGTTGATGATTTGAGGTTTCCTACTTGAAGTAGGAAAGCTAAGCCTAAAAGTTTCCATTTTGGGTCGATCTTTCCTAAATCGGAATTGGCAACCAAAGTTTCTAAAAGTTGGAAGTTTCTATTCTTGGAGGTTTCCATTTTCGAGAGTTTCTATTCTTGGCGTTGGGCTTTTAGATGACCTAAACCCAGATTTCCTTGTGGACCTTCAACCCATGCCGAACCCTAGGGCCTAATCATCTAAAATCTGCCATGTTAAACCCTAGTCCATTTCTCCTAAACCCAAGCCGCACCTAACCCTAGCCCATTGTTAAAAATCTGATTTCATTAGGGTTTCTAAGTGCCTATATATACCACCCTTACACCCTAGCCGCAGACATCTTCCCCTCTCCACAAAATCAGAAAATCATCTCTCCTTCTCCCCACCTTTTGCCGCAGCCACCATCACCCAAAATCCATCCATTCCAGCAGCCACTCATCCATTCCAGCAACCTACCCCTCTTTGCCGCAGCCACCACCCATTCCATCAACCTTTCCCACCTTTTGCCGCAGCTTCCATCAATTCCAGCACCATTCCACACATCCATACATCATTCTCCACCTCCATAAACCATTCCCACACCTTGCCGCACCACCATACTATCCTATCTACCTTTCAAAAACCCAAAAACACATCCAGAAAACTCCATTCACGCCAGAACCTGTCCCTCACCTTTGCCGAGCCCAACCTTCACCCAACTCCATATTTTCTGACCCCAAACCTTCCTAGCCGTGCCCTAAACCCAGCCTAGACATTTTTCCACCATTCTTCCTCGTCCAAAATCATCCAAAACTACCCAAAAATCCCCTAAACCCTCTCTGCCGCAGCAAGGAGAAGAAGAAAGAGGAGCTTGCTGTGCAGAATTCAAAGTGGAATTCTTTGGCTTTTTAGGTGTAATCTTTCTTATGTCTTCGATGTTTAAATTTAATAAACTTTGTGTTGTGAGTATGAGGAACTAAACCCCCTTAGTTGGGGGGTGATTCGAAACCATGTACATGCTTGCAATTTGATTCGATTACATTCAGTTGTTATTTCATGAGTTATGGATTCAATTCGTTCATCTATTTGATTGATAACTTATTTGTGTATGTTGATTGAGAGTGCACGCTTAGTTTTCATGCATGAATATGATGCTAGATTATGAGGGAGTTTCACCTAATAGTTACAATCTTATAATCACAAGTAGTGAAGATCGCTTGAAAACGATCGCGTTGAATGAATTCTTAGCATAAGTTTCATGCAATTCATAGTAACAAATGCTTCGTCAATGCTTATGTTTTTCATAGAACGTAATGATTCTTGCTTGTATCTCTATTATGCAATTCATGTAGGGAACTTGTAGGGAATGTTTTGGGTTGTCGTATGCAATCATCCAACTTAATAACTTGTGGAAAAACTGAGAGTTAATTAGTGCAATTCACGGTTAATCTGGGGCGTTGAGTATTTATAATTTATTGGAAGAACAACTGAAAATCGTTTTGTTTGCAAGTGTGACATGTGTGGAGAAGAACCTCCTAACTAGCCTTTTATCCATCTATTTCACCAAAATCGTTTTTACAATCTGTTTAGTTTCAAGTTTCTGTTTTGTGTTAAATTTTCGTCCAAAACAAATCCCCCTTTAATTTGAAGTCTTAGATTAGTTAGAAAGTGTTTTGATTTGTGTTTCTAAGTATTTTGATTCAAGTTTTCATCAAATTTCGTTCAAATTAGTGTAGGTGCTCAAAACTGCCCAGAAAGTGGTTTTTAGGCAGTTTTGAGCCTTCTAGTTGCTGTTTTGAGTTTTAGGTTTGTTTAAGTGTTTTAACCTTTACTTTTGCATTCTTTGAGTCTAAGTTAGTGTTTTTAAACTTTGTTTTTGAGTTTTAAGTCAGTTTCCAAGTGTTTAGCAATCCCTCCTAATCCCCGGTTTAGAACGATCCCTACTTACATCTTTGCTACAATTTGACAAAAAGAGGGTTTAATTTGTGTGCTTATCTATTTCGCATCAAATTTTTGGCGCCGTTGCCGGGGATTAGCAAATTTGCTAATCCCTTGGATTGTTTTTGTTTCTTTTATTTCACTTTGTTTCTGACTTTGTTTAAGTTTCTGACCTAATTTTTGTTTCTTGTTTCTTAGGTACTAATGTATGACTAGAAGCTCTCAACCGATTCGTACAAACATCTTGGATTTTGACGACGATTTTGAGAGGAAGTTAAGAAGAGCTAGAAACCAGCAAGAACACCATCCACCCAGTTCCGAATCTGACCTTGAAGAAAACGTACAAGAAGAGGAGGAGGAAGCCACGGCAGGGATATTTGAAGAAGTCCAAGGCATGGCCATGGACAATCGTACACTCAAGGAGCTTTCCGCCTCGGGTTTGGATAATGCCGCACCCTTGTGCATTCAATACCCCATGGCTGCCCAAGGTAAGACGGATGAGTTTGAATTAAAGTCAAGTTTGCTTCATCATATTCCTAAATACCATGGCTTGTCCATGGAAGATCCTAACAAACATTTGAAAGAATTTGAAGTAGTTTGCTCTAGTATGACTCCCGTCAATGTTGACGGAAATATCTTGAAGATGAAGGCTTTTCCATTCTCTTTGATGGATAAAGCCAAGGATTGGTTATACGAGTTAGCTCCCGGCACTGTCACTTCTTGGGAGAGTATGAAGAGAGCGTACTTGGAGAAGTTCTTTCCAACTTCTCGCATCATCCTCCTACGCAAAAAGATAAGCGGAATTCAGCAAGAAGAAGGTGAGTCTTTTCCTACATATTATGAACGATTTAAATCACTTGTTGCTTCTTGTCCACAGCATCAGATGAAGGAGGAATTGCTCTTGCAATATTTCTACGAGGGCCTCCTACCTCTAGAACGTCAAATGCTTGATGCTTCGGCGGGCGGAGCATTAGTGGATAAAACACCCATGGCTGCCAAGGTCTTGATTGCTAATAGAGCGTTGAACGCTCAACAGTACAAGGGTGTAGGCCAAAGAGGACCCTCACGGCATCAAGTACATGAGGTAAGTGCGACTTCCGATCTTCATTCACAATTGGCTAATCTTACTTCTATTGTTTCACAGATGGCCGAGGGAATGAAGATGCAAGGACCTGTGGTATGTGGCGTATGTTCTATACAAGGACATGTCTCCGAAAAATGTCCTCAACTCATTGAGAATGGCGGATGGGAGAGTGCGAATGCCATTGGGTTTCAAGGCCAAAATCAGTCAAGGCACGATCCATACTCCAACACATATAATCCGGGGTGGCGAGACCACCCAAATTTCAAGTGGAGGGATCCCCAACAACCTCAAAACCAAGGAGGCTTTAGGCAACAACCCCCGGGGTTCTTTCCCAAAACCTACGGCCCACCCCAAAATCAAGCCCAATCCGGCCCAAGTGCCTCAGGTACGTCTCTTGACAATGATGCACTTCTTAAGATACTAACTAAGTTGTCTAATGGGCAGGAAGATCAAGCGAAGGCTATGCAAAACCAAGATAAGAGGGTGGATCAACTTGAGAAACAAATTGGGCAGATTGCCGAGTTTGTAGGTAAGTTTCGAGATCCCGGACAACTCCCTAGTTCCACCATTCCAAATCCGAAGGGAGGTTTCGAAAGTGCAAAAGCAATCACCCTAAGAAGTGGTAAGGAAGTTGGGGCAGGTCCTACATAAAAAACAGGTCATAACGAGGATGAAATTTTGCAAATGGAAGAGGAGGAATCAAGGTTGCCCACGGCAAAGGTAGTTCCACCTTTGCCGCAAGTTCCTAATGTCCCAAATCTGCCCAATTCGTCCCACAAAGGTAAGAATGTGTCCAATTCAGTTCATACTAATGTTTTCCCTTCAAATGTGCCTTTTCCTAGTAGGTTCATGCAAACGAAGAAAGAAGAGGCAGAAAAGGATATCCTTGAAACCTTTAGGAAAGTTCAAGTTAACATACCTTTGTTAGATGCAATCAAGCAAGTTCCGAGGTATGCTAAGTTCTTGAAAGAGTTGTGTACCACTAGGAAGAGGATGTCAACTAAGGAAGTGGTAAAGGTAGGTGAGAATGTGTCCGCCATCTTGCAATGCAAACTACCTCCCAAATGCAAAGATCCAGGTAGCTTTACCATTCCTTGTGTCATTGGGAATACTAGATTTGAATCTGCCATGCTTGATTTAGGTGCGTCTATAAATGTTATGCCATATTCCATTTATGCATCTATGAACTTAGGAGCATTGAAAAATGATGGGGTAATAATACAATTGGCCGATAGATCTAACGCCTATCCAAAGGGAGTTTTGGAAGATTTCCATGTCCTTGAAATGGATGAATCGGACCATGCTCCTTCGCTGCCCATTCTACTTGGAAGACCATTCATGAAGACGGCCCGGACGAAGATTGACGTGTATAGTGGAACTTTGTCCATGGAATTTGATGGGGAAGTTGTTAATTTTAATCTTTCTGATTCCATTAAATACCCTAGTGAGGACCATTCATGCTTTTCTATTAATATAATTGACTCTTTGGCGCAGGGATATCTCGACGATTTAAATGACGATGCGCTTGAAAAAGTCATTACACGAGGCATGGAACTCAAAACAAAGGGGGCAGATTGCATGCATACCCACGGCATACATGAGTCATCCCATGCCGTGCCCCCTAGTGAGGAATTACTTGAAGTTGTGGCTGCCCTTGAGTCCTCACCTAAGCTTGATGGTAAGTATACTACCCGTGAGTCCATTCCCATTTCGACTAACAAATTGCTTCCATCCATAATTCAGGCACCTATCCTTGAACTCAAGCCTTTGCCAAGCCATTTGAAGTACATTTTCTTGGGAGAAAATGAAACACTACCTGCCATTATTTCCTCCTCCCTTACGGCACAAGAGGAGGAGAAGTTGCTTCGAGTTTTGAAGGAGTTCAAATCTGCCCTAGGTTGGACATTGGCCGATATTAAAGGTATAAGCCCTACAACTTGTATGCATCACATATTTCTTGAGGAGGGGGCCAAACCAACTAGAGAGGCTCAACGCCGTCTTAACCCTCCGATGATGGAAGTAGTGAAAAAGGAGATCATAAAGCTTCTAGATTGTGGGGTTATCTATCCAATCTCGGATAGTAAATGGGTTTCGCCCGTTCAATGCGTGCCAAAGAAATCCGGAGTGACGGTGGTAGCTAATGCCGAGAATGAACTTGTCCCTCAACGTATTCAAACCGGTTGGAGGGTGTGCATTGACTATAGGAAGCTAAACACCACCACGAGGAAGGACCACTTCCCATTGCCGTTCATTGACCAAATGCTTGAGAGGTTAGCGGGTTATGCTTTTTATTGTTTTCTTGATGGTTATTCTGGTTATAATCAAATTGTTATTTCACCCGAGGACCAAGAAAAAACCACTTTTACATGCCCGTTTGGAACATTTGCATATCGTCGCATGCCTTTTGGTTTATGTAATGCACCTGCTACGTTTCAAAGATGTATGATGAGCATATTTTCTGATCACGTAGAAAAGATAATTGAAGTGTTTATGGATGATTTTAGTGTATTTGGTGATTCGTTTGATAGTTGCTTGCATAATCTAAGTTTGATCCTAAAACGTTGTGTTGAAACTAACCTTGTACTTAATTGGGAAAAGTGTCATTTTAGGGTTAAACAAGGTATCGTTTTAGGTCATATAATCTCTGAAAAGGGTATTGAGGTTGATAAGTCGAAAATAGATCTTGTACGTCACTTACCCTCTCCGACTTCGGTTAGAGAGGTTCGTTCGTTTCTTGGCCATGCAGGATTCTATCGTAGGTTCATCAAAGATTTCTCGAAGATAGCGCAACCTCTTTGCCGACTCCTACAAAAAGAAGTGGCATTTGAATTCACAAAGGAGTGCACGGCATCATTCAACCAACTCAAGGAGTTGTTGACCACAACACCCATCATTGTTCCACCGGATTGGAGTCTACCTTTCGAGCTCATGTGTGATGCGTCCGACTATGCTTTAGGAGCTGTTTTAGGACAAAGAAAGGACAAGAGGCCGCATGTCATTTACTACGCCTCACGGACGTTGAACGATGCACAATTGAACTACTCCACTACGGAAAAAGAACTTCTTGCCGTTGTCTTTGCTTTAGATAAATTTCGATCATATTTAATTGGAACTAAAGTAATTGTTTTTACTGATCATGCAGCTCTGAAGTACTTGCTCACCAAAAAGGAGGCCAAGCCACGGCTTATTCGATGGATATTGTTACTTCAAGAGTTCGACATAGAGATTCGGGACAAGAAGGGAAGTGAAAACGTGGTGGCTGACCACCTAAGCCGAATGGTGCATAATGAGGAGTCTTTGCCGATTTTGGAGACATTCCTCGATGAACAATTGCTGTCCATTAAGGTTAGTGCACCTTGGTATGCCGATATTGTTAATTTTTTGGTGTCAAAACGTATTCCAAGTGAGTTCACTAGGCACCAACGTGATAAACTTAGGCATGATGCACGGTTTTATGTGTGGGATGATCCGTACTTATGGAAATTTTGCCCCGATCAGATTATACGTCGTTGTGTGCACGATTCTGAATGTCATTCAATTTTGAGTTTTTGTCACACATATGCATGTGGAGGGCACTTTGGCACACAACGCACAGCCCTTAAGGTGTTACAATGTGGATTTTATTGGCCTAGTATTTTCAAAGATGCTAAAACTTTTTGCTTAACATGTGATAAATGCCAACGAATGGGGTGGTATTAGTGCTAGGGACCAAATGCCGCAGGTTTCTGTCCTAAATGTTGAAATTTTTGATGTTTGGGGTATTGATTTTATGGGTCCTTTTCCTTCTTCGTTTGGTTTTACATATATTTTGCTTGCGGTTGATTATGTGTCGAAGTGGGTGGAAGCCAAGGCCACCCGAACTAATGATTCTAAAGTGGTTGCAGATTTTATTAGAACTAACATTTTTGCAAGGTTCGGAATGCCACGAGTGATCATTAGTGATGGAGGGTCACACTTTTGCAATCGGACCATTGAAGCGTTATTGAGGAAGTACAGTGTCACCCATAAGGTTTCTACACCTTACCATCCTCAAACTAATGGGCAAGCCGAGGTTTCCAACCGAGAGATCAAGCAAATACTTGAGAAGACCGTTGGGCCAACGAGGAAGGATTGGAGCTTACAGTTAGATGATGCACTTTGGGCGTATCGTACGGCGTACAAAACCCCCATTGGGATGTCCCCCTTCCGACTTGTCTATGGCAAGGCGTGCCATCTTCCTGTTGAATTGGAGCACAAAGCACTTTGGGCCATCAAGAAGTTTAACATGAACCTCGAGGAAGCAGGAAGTCAAAGGAGATTGCAATTGAATGAGCTTGATGAGATACGACGCGAGGCGTACGATAATGCAAGCATTTACAAGCAAAAGACCAAAGCTTTCCATGACAACATGATCCGTGGGAAATCATTCTCAATTGGGCAGAAAGTGCTATTGTTCAATTCCCGTTTACGTTTGTTTCCCGGTAAGTTACGTTCTAAGTGGATTGGACCGTTTGTTATTACTAACATATCTTCTTATGGTGCCATCCAGATTCAAAGTCTCAAAACAGGTCATGAATTCCAAGTGAACGGACACCGTTTGAAGCCATATTATGAGAGCTTTGTTGAACAAACCGTGGATGATATTTCTTTGGGTGCCGTGGGCACAAATGGAGAATGAATGGGCTTTTCGTCCGGCTGTACGACGTAAAAGAAAGCGCTACTTGGGAGGCAACCCATGCAATTCAACAAAGGAAGACCAAGGAATCACTCCAATTCCAGATTTGCGTTCCTAAACTCTTCCCTTTGTTATTTATTTCGAATCTGCCTATTTAGTTGTTTAGTTGCTGTTTGTGTGTTTCTTTTTGTTTAGTGTGGTTTTATGCTTGAAACATTGAGGACAATGTTTGATTTAAGTGTGGGGGGGTAACTAAGTGTTTAGATGCAAATTCGTGGGATTTTATCACCCTAAACTTGAAGACTTGTTCCTTGCTGTTTTTAAGTGTTTTTGAGCAGTTTTGATGTGTTTTAGTGTGTTTTGAAGTAAAAATCCGAAAATCACATAAAAATTTGAAAAATTTGTTTTAAAAAAACCCAAAAAAAAAAAGAGTTGTTTTTGTGTGTTTGTTTGTGTCTTAGGGTACCTTCCAACACAATGATGAGGATTTGGTTTTTAATTGCATGGCTGTTAAAGAGAGTGATTAACATGGATGAAAGTTTGATTTACTCTTTGTTTATGCTTGGTTGTGGTTATAACTTATGAATTCACATGCAATCATAAAAGAAAAAGAAAAGAATCAGTTTTTGTAACATGCTTGAAGGAAGGAACTTAAACTAACGCTACAACCTTGTGAGACTTGAGCCTAACGTTTATTTGGAGAGTTAAAATCTGTGCATTCTTTGTTTTCTAAGTCGTTGCATGATCTCATTATTCTTTGCTTGGTTGCTACTTAGAAGGCGTTTCATCATTTAGTTCCAAATGCTAGAACTCATGCCCATTTCATTCAAAGCATGTTATTGATTTGCATAACACATATTCAAGATGAAGTTGTGTAGTTACCACCACCCTAGCCAAAAAGCCATGATTCCCCTATGTCATTATGTTTTGTAGGTTTTTAACCCCATTGAGCCTTGTTAGCCTTCGTTAATTGTTAACCCATGTTCTCCTCACCTAGCCTAGATTAGGACCATCCATACCTTGTTCTTAAAGCATAGTAAAGCATGGTTCAAATTGAATTCCTTTTGATTTATGTTGGCAGAAAACTAGTGTGGGGGAAGTATTTCTTTTGTGATTTTGTGTGCCATAGGCACGTGTGGAAAGAAAAGAAAAAAAAAAGAAAAGAAAAAAAATTCGTGGAAAAAGAAAAAAATGAAGAAAAAAATATGAAAAGTGTGAAAAAGAGTTGAAAAGTTGAGAAAAAGAGTTCCAAAGTATTGTTTGTTGAAGTAAGGGTCCAAAACAATGAATTCGGCCCTAAGGAGTTGTTTAAATCTTTCCCTTTTGTTTTAAAGTTAATTTCTGCACTCTAAGTGAATTCTAAGTCTCAATTTCATTGCTTTGCTTACTATTGCTTGAAGAACATTTGTTTTCCTTATCCTTTCCTTGTTAACCAACACCCCAAGCCCCATTACAACCCTTAACTTCTATCTTGAGTGTTATGTGTTTCAATTTGTGGAGTTTGAATTTGGTATGAGCATATGGTGTCACTGGTTCTCGCATCTAAGTAGTAGCATTCCATTCATGAGATCATATCTAAACATGCTTCTTAACTCTAGAAATTGCGTTATTTGTGATACATATATGTGAGCATTCGTTTTCATTTCTACATCAATCTTCTCACATATGACTAGTGTAGGGTGTGGAGTTAGAAAATCTGAGTGAAAATAGAGTGTATATCTTGTAAGGAATTGAGGGAATTCTCTAAGGCATGTTACTACATTCAAAGCATTGTTTTGATTGATTACTTGTGAATTAGTAAGTGGTGGCTTTAATTAAGTATGTGCTTGTGTAAAGATGACTCAAATCTGTGGGGATAACAATCTTTAACATGTCATGTGCATTGGAAATCCCTGAGGCAAACGTTGGAAGGTTTAGGTTTTGTTTTGGTTAGTTTGTTTCGTTCTGTTTCCTTTCTTTTGTTTGTTTTGCTCGAGGACTAGCAAAAGCTAAGTGTGGGGGAATTTGATAGGAGCATATTTATGCGCCTTAGTTAGCTAGTTCTTATGCATCTTTGTTATGTTTTCTTCGTTAAAGTAGTCTTTTAAGCTACTTTCTTGTGTTTTCAGGTTTAGCGGACGTATTACATGAAATGATGCAATTTGGAGCTTTTGGAGCAAAAAGTGAGCTTGAATTGAAAAGGACATGCTTGGAACGCAAGGTTGGGATGGAATTGAAGAGTTTGATGATTTGAGGTTTCCTACTTGAAGTAGGAAAGCTAAGCCTAAAAGTTTCCATTTTGGGTCGATCTTTCCTAAATCGGAATTGGCAACCAAAGTTTCTAAAAGTTGGAAGTTTCTATTCTTGGAGGTTTCCATTTTCGAGAGTTTCTATTCTTGGCGTTGGGCTTTTAGATGACCTAAACCCAGATTTCCTTGTGGGACCTTCAACCCATGCCGAACCCTAGGGCCTAATCATCTAAAATCTGCCATGTTAAACCCTAGTCCATTTCTCCTAAACCCAAGCCGCACCTAACCCTAGCCCATTGTTAAAAATCTGATTTCATTAGGGTTTCTAAGTGCCTATATATACCACCCTTACACCCTAGCCGCAGACATCTTCCCCTCTCCACAAAATCAGAAAATCATCTCTCCTTCTCCCCACCTTTTGCCGCAGCCACCATCACCCAAAATCCATCCATTCCAGCCGCCACTCATCCATTCCAGCAACCTACCCCTCTTTGCCGCAGCCACCACCCATTCCAGCAACCTTTCCCACCTTTTGCCGCAGCTTCCATCAATTCCAGCACCATTCCACACATCCATACATCATTCTCCACCTCCATAAACCATTCCCACACCTTGCCGCACCACCATACTATCCTATCTACCTTTCAAAAACCCAAAAACACATCCAGAAAACTCCATTCACGCCAGAACCTGTCCCTCACCTTTGCCGAGCCCAACCTTCACCCAACTCCATATTTTCTGACCCCAAACCTTCCTAGCCGTGCCCTAAACCCAGCCTAGACATTTTTCCACCATTCTTCCTCGTCCAAAATCATCCAAAACTACCCAAAAATCCCCTAAACCCTCTCTGCCGCAGCAAGGAGAAGAAGAAAGAGGAGCTTGCTGTGCAGAATTCAAAGTGGAATTCTTTGGCTTTTTAGGTGTAATCTTTCTTATGTCTTCGATGTTTCAATTTAATAAACTTTGTGTTGTGAGTATGAGGAACTAAACCCCCTTAGTTGGGGGGTGATTCAAAACCATGTACATGCTTGCAATTTGATTCGATTACATTCAGTTGTTATTTCATGAGTTATGGATTCAATTCGTTCATCTATTTGATTGATAACTTATTTGTGTATGTTGATTGAGAGTGCACGCTTAGTTTTCATGCATGAATATGATGCTAGATTATGAGGGAGTTTCACCTAATAGTTACAATCTTATAATCACAAGTAGTGAAGATCGCTTGAAAACGATCGCGTTGAATGAATTCTTAGCATAAGTTTCATGCAATTCATAGTAACAAATGCTTCGTCAATGCTTATGTTTTTCATAGAACGTAATGATTCTTGCTTGTATTCTCTATTATGCAATTCATGTAGGGAACTTGTAGGGAATGTTTTGGGTTGTCGTATGCAATCATCCAACTTAATAACTTGTGGAAAAACTGAGGGTTAATTAGTGCAATTCACGGTTAATCTGGGGCGTTGAGTATTTATAATTTATTGGAAGAACAACTGAAAATCGTTTTGTTTGCAAGTGTGACATGTGTGGAGAAGAACCTCCTAACTAGCCTTTTATCCATCTATTTCACCAAAATCGTTTTTACAATCTGTTTAGTTTCAAGTTTCTGTTTTGTGTTAAATTTTCGTCCAAAACAAATCCTCCTTTAATTTGAAGTCTTAGATTAGTTAGCAAGTGTTTTGATTTGTGTTTCTAAGTATTTTGATTCAAGTTTTCATCAAATTTCGTCCAAATTAGTGTAGGTGCTCAAAACTGCCCAGAAAGTGGTTTTTAGGCAGTTTTGAGCCTTCTAGTTGCTGTTTTGAGTTTTAGGTTTGTTTAAGTGTTTTAACCTTTACTTTTGCATTCTTTGAGTCTAAGTTAGTGTTTTTAAACTTTGTTTTTTAGTTTTAAGTCAGTTTCCAAGTGTTTAGCAATCCCTCCTAATCCCCGGTTTAGAACGATCCCTACTTACATCTTTGCTACAATTTGACAAAAAGAGGGTTTAATTTGTGTGCTTATCTATTTCGCATCATAAATATATCTAAAACATTATAAAATAAGCATCATCATCCAGATTAGCATTATCATTTGCATGATTATCAGGATGATTCATTTTCCTAAATCAACAAACATATAAACAGTAAGAGTTAATCCACTGTAGAGACAAATAATATTACATGAGACATTTATGTTAAGAGATAAAAAACACATCATGAAAGCATATACATAAAATTATTATAAACTAAACATTCATACCACTACACAATAATATATTATAATATGCAAAATACAATAATATTATAATAATACAAAAAGTTAAAAAGAGAAAAGCAACAGGCTTCATCAGATTCGAATGGACTATGGGGTAGTGGTATGAGTATTATAATATATTATTGTGGGTACGGGTAGTGGTATAGATATAATAATATTAATTTCAACTTTCAACTTTCAGAAAAGCAAAAGGCTTTCGAGCAAGTCCACCCATGGTGGTTGCTCGGGGGACAACCTCCAGGAAAGGGCCAGAGGGCAGGTTGGTAGGCCTCCAGCCTTGGAGATCCCAAGTGAGGGTGGGAGCTTGAGGGCCGGGGGGGGGGTGGGGAATCAACAGGCCTGTGGCCCGAGGCCCGTGACGTCAGGCCTGGGTCTGGCCTTTTTTTTTTTTTTTTTTTTGTGTCAGCCGCGTGCCCCTCACTCGCGAGTGGGGGCGTGTCGCCCGACCGGATTTCAAGGCACGGGCCTGTGCGAGGCAGAAAACCAAGTGATCGTTGGGAAGCCACGTAGCTTCCCACGGTCCGTTCGATCCCAATGGCTCTTTAATACGAGCCGTCCGATTTGCAACTGTAATAAAAAAAAAAGCTGATTTTTTATCAATCGTTCGATCTGAGATCAACGGTTGATATTAATCTTCTTTATAAATTAAAAAAAAGAAAAAATAGTTTTAAAATTAAGAAAAGTTACCGTTGTGACACATGGCACAATCTGGAGTGTTGGAATTCAAATTTGTTAAAATCCAACGGCAGAGATTAATTATTTGAATAAAAATTTAAAAAAAATTGTAAAAAATCCGAAAAAATTGTAAAAAAACATTTCTATAAATACCACTTCTTCTTCATCAACCTTACACCACAATTTCATATTTTCTCAACTACTTTCAATCAAATTCCTATCTTTCTCTCAAAGTTTCAATCCATTTTTTTTCCACAAAATGACTACGTATGCAGGTACGAATTGGTCGCTTCTTGAAGATGTTGCGTTGTGCACTAGCTGGGTTGAAGTTACCCATAATTCCCTTACGGGTAATGAGATGCAGTTGCGAGAAATGTGGAGTTTAATTCATACCAAATTTCTTGAGCAAATAGGTGGGAAAAGAACCAAAGAATCGATGTCCAGTCGTTGGAAAATACTTTGCCATTCCTTTAGTATGTGGAGAGATGCCTTGACACAAGCTAGTAGTAATGTTCGAAGTGGGGCAAATTATGCGGATGAGGTAAGAATATATTATAATTATTTGTTTGTATTATTATTTTGTTACCTAATTTGATTATAATTATTTGTTTGTATTATTTATTTGTTACCTAATTTCATTATTATTATTTGTTTGTATTATTTATTTGTGACCTAATTTCATTATTATTATTTGTTTGTATTATTTAATTGTTACCTAATAATTTCATTAGTATTATTTGTTTGTATTATTTATTTGTTACCTAATAATTTCATTAGTATTATTTGTTTGTATTATTTATTTGTGACCTAATTTCATTAGTATTATTTGTTTGTATTATTTATTTGTGACCTAATTTCATTATTATTATTTGTTTGTATTATTTATTTGTTACCTAATAATTTCATTAGTATTATTTGTTTGTATTATTTATTTGTGACCTAATTTCATTATTATTATTTGTTTGTATTATTTATTTGTTACCTAATAATTTCATTATTATTATTTGTTTGTATTATTTATTTGTTACCTAATAATTTGATTATTATTATTTGTTTGTAATATTTATTTGTTACCTAATAATTTCATTATTATTCATTTGTAGCAACTTCAAGCACAAGCATGGTATGCTGCCAAAATCAAATCAAGAAACAAATCATTCAACCGGTGGGAATGTTGGAATATTGTTAAAGATTGTCCTAAATTCAAAGTTGTGCTTGTTGGTCCAGAAGTATGCATGAACAGCACCCCTCTACACAGCACCCGTCCACACTCTACACCCGATCATGGCTCCCATGTTGATGAAGAAGGAGAAGAAGTGCCTGAAATGCCCATTCCTGAACAAGCGTCGGGGTCAACCCGTTATCCAATCAGGCCTCAAGGTAAGAAGGCTTCAAAGAGGAAAGGGAGTGCTTCCAAGAATGATTATGGAAAGTACATGCAAGAACTTGCTCGTCAAGGTGAATTAACGTTGGCGCGGGAATTGGCGAAATATGAGGTTGAAAAGGCTAGAGATGAGGTAAAAGCTGCAGCTATTCAACAAGCATTTCAAGCTGAACCGAGGGAAAGAGAGCTACTTAGGCAAGAAAGGGAGTTGCTTAGAGAAGAAAGAATTGCACAACGAGATCGTGACATTATGAACACGCGTTTAGAAGGGATGTCTCCAAATTCTAAATATTTTTGGCAGTCGGAGAAAGCAGATGTGGTGCAAAGGAGGCGTGCAAGAGAAGCGAGATCAAGACAAGATGGTCCTAGCACAACAAGACAAGATGATCCTAGCACCACAGATTGGTTAAGTGATGATGAATAGGGTACTTTTCGTAATCGGAGCCCATAGTTTTCCAATCACTTTGGGTTGTAATTTATTATTTATGGTGTTTCCAATTTATTAAAGTTAGTACTTTATTTAAAGTAAGAGTACATTTATTTAATTTCGTAATATATTTATCCTAATAATGGAATATTTATTCATCAAATTGTTCACGTATAATGAAATTATAAAACACACCAAATAAAACTAAAAAAACTCACCAAATGGAATTACATAAACACACCAAATAAAATTACATAAACATACCAAATAATAAAAAACTCACTACAAAAAACACACCAAATAAAATTACATAAACATACCAAATAATTCACACCAAATAAACTTACATAAACATAGCAAATAATAAAAAACTCACTACAAAAAACACACAACAAATAAAATTAAATAAACACACCAAATACAAACAAACATACTAAATAAACTTAAGTATCTTTAGCTTGTTTCAATGCCCACTGGTGCTCTATCAAGTCAATTTGCCGATCATTGTGCATAGATGACCTTTGAAGTGTAGTATATCGTTGAATGACCCTTTCATTGTAACGTCCATCCCTTTCTAATGGCTCGTGTTGCACGGGTTCTTCGGTGGCATCATGCGCACAATATATCCGTGTTCTTGAATTGTTCATCGCGTCTGGCTCTGGCTCATATTCATCAACTGCATTACAATCGAACTCATCTTCCACAATCATGTTGTGAAGAATGACGCACGTCATCATGATGGATCGAAGTGACTCTACATCGAACATTTTGGCAGCACCCCTGACGATCGCCCAACGAGCTTGAAGGATACCAAAACAACGCTCCACATCCTTCCTGCACCCCTCTTGACACCTTGCAAAGTGTTTTTCCTTTGCACTTCACGAACGTGGCACTATTTTGACAAATGTTTCCCACCTTGGGTAAATGCCATCAGCTAGGTAGTATGGCCCGTCGTACCTACGTCTGTTGACGACGTACGTGACTTTTGGTGTCTTTCCTTGCAGGACGTCGTTGAACACTAGGGATTGGGCAAGGACGTTGAGATCATTTTGAGCCATCGGAACCCCGAAAAGGCGTGCCATATCCATGTATCAAAAGATGCCACTGCCTCCAAAATGATAGATTTTGCTCCTTTTCTGTCTCCATATGCGCCTTGCCATGCACTTGGACAGTTTTTCCACGTCCAGTGCATACAATCGATGCTTCCTATCGTCCTAGGAAAACCTCGCATCTCGCCCTTCTTTAGAAGCCTTTGCAAGTCCATGTAAGTAGGTTTTCGAAGGTACTCTGCGGTGTACAAAGATTCGATTGCTCCGCAAAACCTCATCAAGGCCTCAAGAATGGTTAATTTCCCCATCCTCGTTATCTCATCCACTTGGTCTGTAGATGCTCCATACACAAGCATCCGCAACGCAGCAGTGATTTTTTGCTGAGGCAGGAGACCCATAACACCACAAGCATCCTTCTTTTGCACAAAGTAAGAATCATGGTTGCAAACATCAGTCATGATTCTGTTGAACAAATGTCGTTCCATTCTAAAATGGCGTCTAAAGTAAGTATCAGGAAATGCACTGTTATGGACAAAGTAATCGTCCAACAGCTCTTCACCCTGTCGTTGCCTGCTTCTATCAAAGTTTCTTGAACGGCTGGGCCTGCATATCTGAGCAACAGTCTGGATGACTCGATGGGAATGTGAGGCTCTGGCCATTCTTGTTTCGTCATCTCTCCTTCTACGCTCCTCATCCTCTGCCATCTCAATTTCGGCTATTTGAAGGTTAAACATTCCTTCAAATTGGTTAAACAATTCTTCCTCTTGCTGATCGATTTCCCACATCATCCTTGATGAAGAAGAAGACATTGTAAGGATGGATGGTGAAGAAGAAGCAGAAACTATGAATAATGAGATAGAGATGTTGAGAAAATTGGTGTGAGATTTGTGAGGATGGATGGTGGATTATATGGACGATTCAGAAAGGATTGGATTGTAGATAAGGCCACGTGACATGCCGTCATTCGTTAAATCTGATCGAAATCTATCCTCAAAGATTCTGAAAAGATAATGACATGTGGCACGATCGTATTGGATAAAAATCTTATCGAAATCGATCTCCAATAATTATCTTTTCGGATAATGACACGTGGCGCAATTTTGAACAAGTTAAAATCTGATCGAAATCTTTAGACAAGATTCTCAGAAGATAACGACACGTGGCACGATGACATTGGATAAAAATCTTATCGAAATCCATCGCTAAATAATAATTATTTTTTATAAAATGACACGTGGCGCAACGAGAACGATTAAAAAATCTTATTCGAAATTACAAATAATTTTATTTTGTATTATTTAAACAAACAAAAAAATTAATATTTTATTGCCTATTGCCAAGGGGGAGGGCTCCAAGGGTGGAGATGCAAATGACAATTACTGTTCATTAAGGGCAGTTACTATTCATTAAAGGTAATTACTGTTCAATAGGGTGGATTCAATAGTGGATTGCCAGGCAGGAGGGCTCCATGGGTGTAATTGCTTTTATAATCAGATTAAGCTTTTAGTTTTAGTTTCACTGTTTCAGAGATGGGTTTTGTGATGTCCTCGGGGAATCAGAGATGGGTTTTAGTTTCAGTTTCAGAGATGGGTTTCGGTTTCACAGTTTAACTATAAACAAAGTGAAACTGAAAATGAAAGCTCACCACTCATTCACCAGGAGTTGCGGACAGAGATGGAGGAAACGATGAAGCAGTTGCAGATGGAAAAGATGGAAACGACGGGGCAGTTGCAGATGGAGACGACGGAGACGACGAAATGCTTACAGATGACTGTCTGATTCGTGAAAGTCTCCCAAGCAGAGTGATTTCTGAGGTTCAAGAAATAAATCCGAATTTTTTTTTCTAATTATCCTCCGATTTTAGAGTGATTTCAGTTACCTAAATTTGATCAATCACGATTCTGTGCGGATTTATTGTGATTATTTTTTAGTTTTCTTCTGATTATCCTCATATTTTAGTTTCAAAAGTATCCGAAAAGTAGGATACTTGTATCTGGACAATACGATACGGGTATCTTACCATTCCAATGCGTATCTCTTAATTCCGATACGTATCAGGCGCGTATCCACGCGTATGCTTCGCGTATCCGTATCCTTAAAGTGTCAGATACGGGATACAGAGGTTTTCTCCCGTGTCCATGCATCGTGCGATAGAGAGGTCTCTTTTTTTTTTTTTAATCTTATTTTATTGTTCTTTGTAATTTATTTTTATTTTTAACTATTTAAAAAGAAACTAATTTTTCTATTAATCCATTTAATCCATATAGCATTATATAATTGGTTTTGTGGCTCCAACAGTGGACGAATCATGCCTCACTCCTGCTTTTGGCTTTATATATTCGCCAACTGGCTTGAAGGTTCACTCCACCACTCTCCACTACGATTTATAGGCAAAGCACCCCAACCATTTCTTGCACGTATCATCCTTCTTTACTTATCCTCTAGCCTGTTAGCTAGCTACATATACAAGTACTTTTCTTTCTTCCGCTTTTAATATCTGCATGCATTTACAGAGCCTTTGAGATATTTACTATAATCATTACTTAAAATTAGGTCTAATTATGGTGATTGATTAATTAATGGCATCAAACTCCCTCAGAAAACACAACTCCAGCTCTTCATGGACACCAAAGCAGAACAAGCTGTTTTAGAAGGCACTGGCCTAATACGACAAGAAGACCCCGGAGCGGTGGCAAAATGTGGCTAAAGCTGTAGGTGACAATTAAACAGCGGATGAAGTGAAGAAACACAATGATATCCTTCTAGAAGATCTTAGGCAAATTGAGTACAAGTCCTCCTTTGGAAGCAGCACCAGCAGTATTAACGTTGATGAAGAAGAAAGGTATATTATGAAGTAGCATAGGACTAGCTAGAGTTAAACTATATAATTTGATAATTAAATTCTTTGGAGGTTATAACTAACTTTACAGTCGTTAATCACAGCCCCATGTCTGCTGTCTCCTATTTCGTGTCTCCTTTGTGTCTCCTTTGTGCCCCTTTCCAATTTTTTAACATTTATCTCTCTATTTAACTTCATATCTAACACTTTTAAACTCTCAATTAAGTTTAATTAAAAAATATAAAAATTGCAGTTAAACAAAAAAAACCAAAAACCCAACAGCAACCCTTCCCAACCAACATTGTCTCGCAGCCACCAACCCCCAATCTCCTCCCCACCATGTTTGTCAGCTGCATTTTCTCACCATCGGCAAGGTTTCCTTTGTTGGGGATGTAGGATCTAATTATAGTCCAACCATTCTTTCTTTCTATTTATCACTCTTCCTCTCTCGTCGGCGAAGCCGAATCGAATTTTAGAGTCAGCTTTGCGTTAGTTCAAATCTCGGCATTTGTTCAATCCTTACAAATTTCACCATCTACTAGGTTTCCTTTGTTTGTATTTATCTCTCTTCCTCCCTCTTGTCAGCAAAGACGAATCGGATCTTAGAGTTGTCTTTGCGTCGATTTAAATCTCGACCTTCGTCGTCGGTTCAATCATTACAGATTTCACAATATTCAATTGATTAGATATCTTCCCTCAATCCCCAAATCCTAAGAACTTGACAGAATGTTTGCTAGTTCTATAGTATGCCGATCGGCGGCAATGGGTTGAAGTGGGTGGAACTCAGGAGTTTATTCTTGGTTTTTGTATTACTTTAATTTTTAGTTTTTTTATTTAATTTTATTAAAAGTTAACAGTGTTAAATTTGAATTAAGTTGAGAGATATGTGTCAAAAAATTAAAAAAGAGGACACAAGGAGACACGAAGTAGGGGACAGCAAACATGTGGCCGTTAATCACACTTGTTTTAAGTCTTTTTTTCCCTTCGTTTTGTCAAGTTTATGGATTGCATCTTTTAAACACCAGAACACCTTGTTGCTGCTCTACAACATCGCTGCTTCCCTAGCGAAGTTAAACAACTTTTTTTGCTCGGAAAATATCACAAAATTATTTATTTTTGGATTGTACATTCTTAACCTACTTTTATTCAGTAAAGCTTAGTTGGACCACTGACCATATTTTGCTAATCAGACATACCCAATTAATATTTAGAAGTCCGGCTAAATTAGTAAAGGGACTACAGCTTTGAAGGACATGAACACATCAATTGTGATCAGAATAAGTTGAAATATATATGGTATAAAAATATATGCCTCCCTATCACAGTACCACCACTCGTTATTTATAGCTGGTTGTCGCGGTGCTCCGAAATGGCTCATGGATTTGGGCATTTTTAATTTTAGCGAAGTGTTTATTTCTTCAGAGATTTTAGTTTTTGTGAACATCTACAGTATGTTCAACTGATTCTCTCTCTCTCTCTCTCTCTCTCTACAGTGTAATGGATGCCATTGTTGTGGCAAGCACCCTTGTGTTGAGGAAATCTTATTTTCTTTCTTGCACTGATATTAAACGCAAGTAAATCCTTAAACCTAAAAAGTCTCATGCATCCTTTTTTGAGTGAAAGTCTTAGATTTAATTATGATAAATAGCAAATTTGATATCAAATTATTGTTTGCTTATTTTGACTTGACAGAATCCCCAGTTTAGTTGTACCCTGCTCCCACTCACTGCGGCCAAATCCCCCCTCTCCTTCAATAATCTCATCAGTGGAGATTCTTCGGGCAGGAATTTAACTGGGAAGGGTCCCTGGCTTGAGCACACAGCTCTCCGAGGAGTTGGCACTTTGGTTGGCTGTCAGGTTGCAAGAAGAGGACATATTTAGTTCTGAAAGGTGCCTTTGTCTAGCCTTAGGTGTAGGCCGTAAGGCTTGCAATCAAAACTAACTAAGTGATGAGGCGTGCCACTGCCATCTCTATATGGCAGATGAAGAATGATTGTATTTAAGCCGATTACTTGCGCTCTAAGTTACTCTAACTTCTCATTATCAAAGGATTGTCGTGGATGGGTTAAGTCCACAGTAAGTTCTTTTTTATGCCTTGAGATCAAGGACTTTTGTTTATCTTGTATGCTTCAAAAGGTGGAGGTTTAGATTTAATCAAAACATCAGTTTCTTTTACTTTCACGATAGTAAAGGTACTAAGTGAACCAGATCTGAGAGTTAATGGAACTTCAGATCATTAAGAGATCGAAAATGACTTGCATATCTATTGAGGGATACATTCTAATACCAGATCTATTAATGGAAAGGCAAAAACAAAGAGAGTCGAGCAAGATTTCACCTTGTCAGGCAAGGTTAAAACGTCACGTGGTCTCTTCCCTTGGCAGTTTACAAAAGGATTGAGTACTAAAGGGGATGACTGGAAAGGAGTTTACACATGAGATATCGATACTACAGTATTCAGGGAAAAAGGTAGCAGAGCTTTTACATAAACAAAAGATGTCTTTCTAAGGAAGTCTAAGGCTAAGAGGGTGCAAAGTCTGGACAAAGCACGGCTTTCAGGGCATTTGCTTGGCTGAGACTCAAGTTCTATGTTTGTTTGTTGATTTGAGTGTCCTTGTCTCTTGGCCCTCTTCCTCCTTTTATAGACGAATTAGCCCAGTTGTGTCATTTACGTTCTTGCCCGAAAGTAACTAAAGGGTAATCAATCACCAGTCTTTTTACGTGTTTGCCATCCAAAAAGTACTTTTGGACCGAGAGTTGGTGATCTTCCATCAGTTGTCACTTCTTGTAAGCAACTGGCATTTGCATTAATGGGGAGCTACCATAATATCTTGACATAGATGAACTGGGCTTGATTATAGGCTTCGGGCAAAACCTTTTTTATTGAACTCTCTTGAGTTTTCCTTCCTGAAAGCCCAAGGTTTAAATATTAACCAAAACAGAGACTATTCATTCAACATTCTTAATTTTTCACGCATGGGTAATTACTAATTAGAGAAATTGACCACATGTCTCAGTTATAGTCAATAAGAGTTTCAAGAATGTGATATAATGGTCTTTGTCAAAGATTCAGAAAAAACAATGATCTATGATGCAGATCTGAATCTTAATCCAAGAGAGACTATAGACTTTGATGGCTGGCCAGTGGGGAGTTAGGGTGAGGGTGGCTGGCTAGTGGGAGCAGGGGCTACCGCTGATGATGTAGGACCATGATTTTCCAGGGTCGAAGTAAGGATGATCTGAATACTGTTAACTCAAAAGTCCAATCATGATCTCATAAGCTCCGAGCAGAGTTATATCAGGCAGAGTAAGGTGTCAACATCACTTAACTCCCTGGCAATAGGCGGAGTCCTAGCAACTCCGATGGATGACTATGCTTGTTCCGCAGAACATGTGATCTGATCCAAATATGGACATAATCATATCATATAAGTCCTAGAGTCCCTACAATCTAGGGATAGGTATGCAATATCTACTTACTAGATATCATATAGGATTTTTTTGACTTAGAATAAAGTTCTAGCATAAAAAGGTCTCTCTCCCACGGTATAAAAACACCTATCTAAGGTTCATCTATGGTAACACAATCTATACACTTGAATTCTCTTGCCCATTGCTTGTGTCTCAAATCATTCACTAACTTGATTATTAGAGAGCCTTTGGTAACCACACATCACCCTTCCTCTTCCCCCTGGCCTAAGGTTTGCTTACGGTTGTCTTACCATTTTGTAGGTTGCTCAGGATTATACGAATTTGTGCGTAACCACAGCCCACGGAGGTGTGCATATTTGCTTCCAACAATTGGTGCTTTCTTTGAGAAAGAGCCCATATTTCTCTTGGCCAAATTACTCTACCCTCTAATATGTCAGAAAACTTAGTCAACGACCAAGGCCTAACTGTTTCTCTAGAAGAAGCCCATTAAGGGCATAATGGTATAACCATCATCAACAGGATGTGGGAAGATGTCATGGATATATGCTATCCCTAGATGTCGTTTGACACAATCCACTAGCCAAATAGCCTGCCTAGCTCGAGGAGATAAAGACCTAGATCAAAGATTTTCAAAAGGCAGTTTCTTGCTTTAAGAAGCTAGTTACTTGAAATACGAAAGTGAATGACCTAATGTTTGAAGAGTTATCCCTACGATCCTTCTTAGAGAAACGCCGCAAGAAATCCATAAGGCTTACAAAGTTTCACCCAGTTCAACGCCCGAAGATAACAACGTTTTTTGAGATTAACTGTATATATATATATATATGGAGAACAAAAGTACCTGGGAAACACCAGAAAAGAAAAGAAGGCGACTTGCAAGAAACCAAAACTAGTGGCCAGCATCAACAAGCCATTGACCATCGATTCCAACATCTTGATGTTTTCTGATCACGATTTAGAAGATGTCCACTCACCCCACAACGATGCTTTCGTCGTCAAGGTCCACATCTTGAACGCCTTAGTCAACCTTGTATTAGTTGAAAACGGTTCAAAAGTTAGTGTCCTTTTCAAAGATGTTGAAAAGATGGGAATTCTAGACAACATCAACAAAGAGAGGACAACCATTCACACCTTCAACAGGGCATCAAAGTGAGTTTCTAAGAACTGTAAAGTTGGTCGTCTAGGCCAAAACCTACAACTACCTAGTCACCTTCCATGTCATGGATTACCCGATCCTTCATTACGCTATCCTTGGACGGAATTGGTTACACAAGATGAAGGTCAACCCTTCTAGTTACCACCAGTTGCTCCTTTATTCGGCACCCGGTAGAGTAAAAGAAATAAGAGAATACCAGTCGGCAGCACGTTGTTACGCTATTGTAAGTATGAACATGATAAGAAAATAAGAACGAAGCTCCAACACACGCATAAAAGAGTCAGCATAACAATCATAACCGAGGAGTGAACAGACCAACTACAAAGAATTTGACTTGGATCTTAACCCCTAAGAAGACATCACCTCGGAACTCAAGGAAGACATAGACATCGTCTACATCAGCCTCAACCCCAACAAAATAGAACAAACGAAGTTGACCAACTAAGAAAAAAGAACTATTTACCAGCTTCTTACAAGCTAACAGAGACGTGTTCGCATGGTTAGGAGAAGAAATGCCTAGGATTGACCCCTCTGTAATCTGTCACAGTCTTGACATGGACCCAACTGCTAAACCAATTATCCAGCACGAATGGAAACACATAACAGAGCACAGCAAGATCATAAAGTCATAAATAGGTAAACTCAAAGACGCCCAGTCCATCATTGAAGTACGCTATCCAGATTGGCTGGAGAACGTTATGTTAGTACAAAAAAAAAAAGGATGAGAAGTGGAGAGTGTGCGTGGACTTTACAGACTTGAACAAGGCCTGTCCAAAAATCCATGTCCTCTTCCATGAATCAACCTACTAGTGGACTCAACAGCGGGACACTAAACTCCTAAGCTTTATGGATGCCAACTCCAGATACAACCAAATAAAGATGTACGGGCCAGACATGAGGCAACATTTTTCGTCATCGATCGAGGTACCTATTGTTACAAGTTTATGCCTTTTGAACTAAAAAACCCATGGACAACATACCAGCGACTCGTCAACCAAATCTTCAAAGACAAAATCAAAGACACAATGGAGGTTTATGTAGATGATATGGTTGTCAAAAGCAAAAAAATAAAAAATAATGATCATATAACACATCTCCAAGAATCATTTGACCTGCTTCGGAAATATAACATGAAGCTGAATCTAGAAAAATCCACATTCAGAGTAGCATTACGAAAATTCCTAAGGTAAATGGTAACTAAGAAAGGAATCGAAGCCAACCCAGACCATGAAGGAAATACAAAGTTTGACCAGACGAAGGGCAGCCCTTAATAGATTTCTTTCAAGATCCAAACCTCCATTGCTATCCAAACTTATTGACGGGGAGGATTTGTACCTTTATCTAGTTGTATGTGACTGCATAGTAAGTGCAACTCTTTTTTTAGAAGACTTTGGGGAGCAGAAACTGGTATATTACATATCAAAAGCTCTTTTTGAGCCCATCTTAGCACTAGTAATGGTAGCGAGGAAGCTTCGACCATATTTCCAATCATTCAGAGTAGTCTACATAACGAAATATTCGTTGAGGTGCATCCTACACAGCCCTGACGTTTTATCAAGAGTTACAAAATAGGCTATCAAACTAGGGTAATATGAGATAATCTACCGTCCCAGGACATCAATCAAAGCCCAAGCCTTGACAGACTTTTTAGAGGAGTTCACCTCTAAGGAACAAAGTATTGGGTAGGCGATCAGCTCCCAAACCTCCCCCCTTGAAAATCCATATCTTTGGAAGTTTTACGTGGACATGTTATCTAACATACACGAAGCTAACACGAGAATGGTAGTGCAACCATCAGATGGCTTCATACTTGAGCATACCCTTAAGCTGGTATTCAAAGCAAGCAACAACAAGGTTGAGTATGAAGGCCTACTAGCAAGCTCTATGCGATTCCATCAACATGCAGAAGAGCTTAATACTCTAACAGGTTCATGGCCTTTCATGTAATGGGGTATCGACTTGGTTGGACCCCTTAAGAAAGCTAAAAGAAACGTGCAATGGCCAATCGTGGTGGCATACTACTTCTTTAAGTGGATAGAACTGAAACCTCTGATGAAAATCGCCAATGCGGCAGTGAAAATCTTGGGATCCCTTATACGATAATGACGGACAACGAGTTATAGTTTACCAGCTCTGAAGTCACAGATTGATACAAAGAACTTAAGACCTGCCACCTCACTTCCATACCTAGATATCCGCAAGGAACAAACAAGCAGAGGCTTCAAACAAAACCATCTTGTAATGTTTAAAGAATAGACTCGAAAAGAAAAATAAATGGCCAGAGGAATTATCAGGAGTTCTGTGGGCTTATCATGCGAGAGTTCAAAAAACCACCAGGGAAACACCATTCTCAATGGCTTACAAAACTAAGGCTGTCATTCCAGTTCAATTGAAAATTATGCCAAACTTACATACTGAAGAAATGACAACCTTGGAGAATATGGGGATCCTAAAAACAGATCTCGATTTCGTGAAAGAACGACGTGCTCAAGTTCCACTAACAACTTACTAGCAGCAAATCTGATCATATTACAACAAGAGTGTCAAGCCCATAAATCTGCAAGCATGACAGTTATTCTTGAGGGAAGTCTTCGAAAACACCAAAAACCCCAGAAGAAGGTAAACTCGGGGAAAATTGGGAAAGTTCATCCAAGGTCGCCAGAACAAATGAACAAAACCCTGATCATAAAAAGGTGGAACATCACCAAGCTCAAAAAGTACTATCCATAGAAGCACCACATGAACTATACGCGATTTGATTCCCTTCATAGGATATATAGGCTTATCATCAAAATGATCCCTAATGTAATTTTTACATTATCATCTTTCCTTATAACTACACCAGTGATTTAATTATGTAGGCAATCCTTCACGGATTCAATCACACCCTATTGTCAATCAACTTTACCTGTGTCATGAATAAAGAGCATCAATTTGTCTTAAATACGTGTTTGTTGTTTATTTTTCATGTGATGCAGGGAATACCCTACTCATTCAAAACAGGGCCTAAACTTTGAAAACTTCGCTTCAATTCAAAACAGGGCCTAAACTTTGAAAACTTCGCTTCAATTCAAAACAGGGCCTCTTTTAGCCCAATTCGTCTTGAATAGTTAGTAACTTGAGAGACTCGAACCGTAATAAGTGTGGTAACAATTAGCGGGCTACGGGCACAGGCACATGGCGCATTGACCCGAAAATCCAATGCACCATCCAGCCTCCAGAAAGTTTTAAGCAATCAGTAAGGTTATGGGTTATAACATTCAAACCTGGGCTCTACGCCATTCGAGGGAATAGTCGAAAGGGTGATTTGGAACTCATCCAAAGGTGGCTCTAAAATCTGACCCCAAGTACGACTACTTCTATCTTGGATCAACTTACTAAGTCAAGTAAGCTCTACAACACCAAGTGGTAGCAGGTTCAAAGAGGGAATTCAGACTAGGTAATTCGCAAAAGGAATTTCATTTCAACAGAGCATCAATATTTGGAAATGCTTTGGCCAAGCCAACCAAGGTAATCAGATCAGAAATGCTTGAGTTTGACCCATAGGGTCCAACAAAATGATTCAAAAAGTATTTTTGACCCACATTCTAAAGATCATGCTCCCAAAGAACTTTCGCTTAAGATTCACTAGGAATGGAAACGAAATTGAGTCTCGGAAAATCACTCCCAGACTCCCAGACTACATTGCATGTATTGAAGATTTTAATTCATAAACAGGGCAAAATATTGAACAATTTTTTTATATCTTATTCCATGCAGGATACTTCAAGAACAATGTCGTCATCTCAAGTCCAATAAATGCATGAATAAGCCCGAAGCAAAGGATTCCTCATGGGTTTAAATGCTTGCATTCCTATTACTGGAGTAAGGTGGTACTCCGGCTATCGCGATGAGAATCTTTTACAGATACTAAGTTTGGGAGGTAATCTTTCTCCAAATCAATATTACTGAGGGGGTTTTTCACTAAAAACTCTCTCAAAAGTCCGGTCATGAACTCACAGCTCCGGACGTAGCTGTATTAGACAAAGCAGAGTGCCACCATCACTCAACTCCAGGGTAATAGGCGGAGTCGATCATGCTTGTTCGGCAAGGCATGCAATCTGATCTGGATATGGACACAATCAAATCCTATAAGTCTTGGAGTCCCTACAATTTACGAATAAGCCTGCGCACAACTGATAAAATGATGCAATATCTACTTACTAGATATCCTTTAGGATTGTCCCAGTTTAGAATAAGGATTTTATCCTAAAAATATCTCTCTACACCCATCTAGGGTTCATCTATGGTAACGCAATCTACACACTTGAATTATGTTGCTTACAGTTGTCTTACTGTTTTGCAATTTGCTCAGGATTATGGAATTTATGCTCAACCACCATCCACGAAGGTGTGCAAATTTGGTTCCAATAGATGGCGTGGGGATGGCTGTCAAGCTGGGTGAATGGTTGCCGAGCTAGTTTCTTTGTTTCTTTTTCCTTGTATTTATTTTTTAATTTACTAGCTCGGTTAGGTTGTATTATTTATTAACGGTGTGGGGATGGCTACCGGGCTGGATTCTTTTTTTTTTCTTTTTTTTTTTGTATTTATTTTGTAATTTACTATTGAAGTTAAGTGGTACAAGACGTGTCAAAAATGAGAGGAGAGACACAAAAGAGACACCAATTTGAGACAACACACCTATGGACAGAGTGTTCTAGTAATGTGCCAAAAAATGAAAGAAGAGACATAAAAGAGACCACCAGTTCGAGGATAGCAGACCCATGGACAAAGTGTTCTATAGTGTTAGACCATTTGCAAGGTTCTAAAAAGCGGTAAGTGCTAGTCTGACAGCAGGTAGGGGCCTAGGCTAGTTTTTTTAACTTGAATTAAATTTATTGTATAACAATAAAAACATATAAATAAGTGAATACAATTGATTGAATACATAAAAATAAATATGTATTTAGAGTTATTTTATAATAAAAAAAAAGTCTAAAGTTATTTTATAAGAAAATTAACTTCAAACCTAAGGGTTGAAGTTAGACCGTCTAGTCTAAAGTTTTTGTGTAAGACTTTTATTCTACTTACATCTATTTATGAATCCTATTTGATTAAGGATACAAGAAAGGAAGTTGTATTTGATTATCCCGACTATCCTACCAGGTTATGAATTATGGAGTCCTTTATGGCCATGAAAGAAACCTAATACCCTCACCTATAAGTATAAGGTTCAGGCCCCAACTTTCATATATAATATTCTAGCACAAAACCTACACCATATTCGGAATGCTTAAGGAGTGCAGAGAGGGGAAGATATTTGCTTGTTCATTGCTCGTTTGTGATTCAATTTGTTTATGTCAATAATTTCTCAAGGTTAGAATATGCATATTATAGATCGACTTACATGTGGTATCAGAGTAGGTTATATGCGTCTACAAGTCTAAAATCAAGATAAATTAAACAAAGCTGTGAAGTATGTTAATTAAATTCATGGTATCCGCATGTACCCTGCACCATGTCTATTGATTTTTGTTGCAAGTTTTGAAAATGAAAATTCATGTTCCTTATTGCTCAATCAAAGAATCTAACGGCACGTGCATATTGAATTTATTTTGACTTGTTGTACTGCATGTTTCTCGTTTTATATCCTATGCCATGATTGTTTTGTGTGCAGCTTCTTTGACATTGAATTAAATATTAAAGTTTAAGATAGTTTGTAAAGGACAACGTCACATATTTGTTTGAAAAAGTTTGAAAAAAAAATTGGAATGATGTTGCTTGATTGTTTGCCGTTACATTCCAACAAGTCAAAAAGAAGATAAAAGCTTATATATAAACAAGCGGCATGAATGTTTCCAACAACATAGATTTTTCCAGCGGCATGAGTTTTCAAGTTTTCAGTTTTAATCATGTATGTTGAGAAGGGTTGGTGATCAGTTGCTTTTTCTTTTTTTTTTGAAACAAGAATAATCAATTAAAGGGAAAACTCACGAGTACAGCTGTTCTCTATAGAATCAAATTGAAGAGCATGAAGAGTATTGAAACCGGTTTGTATGGATGGGTTGTATGTATGAGTTGTTCTCTTCACCATACCTTGTCATTCACCTTACATCAACCTTTCTCCATAGCTTGTCATTCACCAATCACTTTCCAAAGCTTGTCATTCACCTTACATTAACCTTTCTCCATAGCTTGTCATTCAACAATCACTTTCCATACCAATCACTTTCCATAGTTTGTCATTCACCTTACATCAACCTTTCTTAGTTGCTTGTAAAAGCTTCTTTACTTGTAATTTGGTTTTTGCTTTTCCACTTGTTAGGGCAGATTTTAGGGATTGTGTTTGTATAGTTATCCTACAATCTACTGTAGCTTTCTTTTGGCTCTCTATAAGAGTTGCCTTCACTCTCTTGTAATCTTCATAATGAAATATACAACAAATATTGAAACCAAAACTCAACATGGTATCATAGCAGGAACCATAGGGTCCTGACTCTATTCATTTTTTTACTTCTTCATTTGCTCATCATCGATAGAGATGGCAGAAGAAAATGTGTCTAGTGCCAACAGTGCCTCATCCTCTTCCCCAAACTTAACCCAAGGGGTTGAGAACAATCCAAATCAACGACTCTGCTCGGTTCTACTAAACGAGTTCAACTACCTTCCTTGGTCAAGAGCTGTGTCACTTACTCTAGAAGGAAGATCGAAGCTAGGGTTTATCAATGGAAGCTCTGAGCCCCCAGAATCTACTTCACCAACTTACGATGCATGGCATGCTAATGATTAGCTGGTCATGTCCTGGTTACTTAACTCTATGAAGCCAAAACTGTCTAAGCTTTTCAGCTACTCAGAGTCTTTCATTCTCCTATTGGAGTCCGTCAAAGATATGTATGGCAGCCAAAACAACTCAGTTCGCATCTTTCAACTGAAGAAGAGTGTGGCTAGTTTAAAGCAAGGTGATCACTCTTTTGTTCAACACCTTAGAAGTATGAAATCCATGTGGAATGAACTCGATATGTATCGTCCACACACGATTGATTCCGCTGTGCTATTGAAGAGGGTTAATGAAGACAAGGTGTTTCAACTCTTAGCAAGCTTGGGAACGAAGTATGAAGACCTGCTTAGTCACTTGTTAATGACTCAAAAGCTGCCCTCTTTTACCAGTGTGTGTCATGCAGTCCAGAGAGAGGAAACTCGACAAAAAGTATGAACGTTGAGCCCAAATCTAACTCTAAAGCTAGGGTTTTCATGACAAATCACAAAGCAACTGGTGATAAGGTGCTTGGTAAGAAAGCAGATTGGAAATGTTCTTATTGCAACATGAAGGGACATTTAAGAGAAAAATGTTGGATTCTTCATCCGGAGTTAAAGCCTAAGTTTGATAGGGAAGGCAGGATGATCAAAGATGGGAAGGGTGGAGTCACTCCAAAAGCATTTCATTCAGCTTGTTCCTCAACTGATGGGATGACCAATTTCTCAACAAATCTTGTGTCCTTGATCAACGAGTTTGCTGTTTTTCTTCAAAAGAAGCAAGGAAGCACTGAACCTAATGAAATGACAACTAAAAACCCTACTGCAATGCTAGGGAAATTTGCTGGATTCTTGGCTGACTCAGAGAATACATCGAAAGGCAATATTCCAGGTATTATCAGTGCCATTTCCATTGCTCTTAATGCAAATGTTACACATGATTTTTGGATTATTGACTCTGGTGCCACGGATCATATAACTAATAAACCCTCTAGTCTCCACGATTTTTAAAGAACTATTGATCCAATTCATGTATCTGTTGCAAATGGGAAAGGGGAACCTATTCTAGGGAAAGGAAAGATTAGATTGCTAAGTGAGCATACTGATTCCACTGCTCTCTATGTACCTTCTTTTCCTTTTCAGCTCTTGTCAATAGGAAAAATAATAAAAACCTTAGACTGTCTTGCCATATTTTCCCCTCACAATGTTGTGTTTTAGGACCGAGTTAGAAGATTGGTGAAGGGTTCTTCTTGAATGGACTCTACTATCTCTCAAAGTAGTCCAATTTTGTGAAAAAGCTCAGTGTCAACTTAAGTCAAGTTCAGGAACACCAACTTTGGCATCAACGCCTTGCCCGTCCCTCAGAACATGTGATGACCAAGTTGTTTCCCTGTGTTTGTAAAAACACACTGGAGTGTGAAACTTGTCAAATGTCAAAAGCCACTAGACTTCCTTTTGTTTCTTCTAATTCTAGAACTAGTAAACTTTTTGAGCTTGTTCACTCTGATATTTGGGGTCCTTCTCGTGTAGAATCTTTTGATGGGTATAGATATTATGTTACATTTATTGATGACTATTCTAGAGTAACCTGGTTGTATCTTTTAAAACTTAAAAGTGATTTGTTTGATGCTTTTAAGGACTTTCACAACCTAATCACCAATCAATTTTCATCTAAGTTATATATGTTAAGATCAGATAATGGTACCGAGTACACTTCCAATAACATGAGTAATTACTTAAGCAATCACAACATTTTGCATCAAACTAGCTGTGTTGGTACACCACAACAAAATGGTGTGGCAGAGAGAAAGAATCGAGACTTATTGGAGAAGACTCGATCACTTATGATCCAAATGAATGTTCCTAAGAAATTTTGGTCTCAAGCCCTACTCACTGCCATGTACATCATTAATAGGTTGCTAACTCGGGTGTTGAATACTAAATCTCCTTTTGAAGTCATGAAGGGCAGGCTTATAAACTTGTCTCACCTCAGGACCTTTGGTTATACTTGTTATGTGCATATTCAAGCTCTCCATCATGACAAACTCGACCCTCGAGCTACCAAATGTGTGTTTATGGGATATGCCAGTTCTCAAAAGGGTTACAAAGTGCACAACCCTAACACGGGGAAGCTAGCAGTCTCTAGAGATGTGCGATTTGATGAATATTCACCTTATTTCCACAAAGGGTTGGAGACTAATGCTAATATGGAAGATCTTATAGACCTATTTCCACTACCTATTCCAGCAGAAATTCATGAAGTTACTCCTGCTCATATCAGCACTGATAATTCTCAACTCATTGAGAGTGTAATTGATGCAGTGCCAAGCTCATCTGGACCATCAGAAGCTCAACCAAATCAGCAAGTTGTAAGTGCACCAAGAAGAAATCCTACACGAGATAGACATCCACCAGTGAGGTTACAAGAGTATGTTACTTACACCGCAAGGCATTTTATCTTTGCAGCCATTTCTTATCACAGATTCTCATATTCTCATACTTCTTTCCTTAACAAATTGTCCCAGACTTTCGAACCAAGGAATTTTCATAAAGCCACATGCATGCCTGAGTGGCAAGATGCTATGACTAAAGAGCTTCAAGCTTTGAATGACAACCAGACATGGAGTGTGGTGGATCTTCCAAACAGCAAGAAGGTCGTGGGAAGTAGGTATATAAGACCAAATTCAACTCCAATGGAAGCATTGAAAGACACAAAGCACGGTTAGTA